CCCCCCTTTACACACCCTCTCATTCCCCTCGTCACAACTGATCTCCTCTAAAATTCATCCCTACCTACGGTCCATTCATTTCCAAACGTGTCTTCCGTACTCTCACACCGTACCCCCCTTCCCCCCCACCTTCACCCATACGCATGGGCCACGTAGAACGGAATTTATTAAACGCGCGACAGTCGCGTTGAAAACGACAGTCAAACCAATTGCGTAAGACGGCAAAGTGATCCCGTCCGACTGACGACTCTCTTACTGAGTTATTTACAGCATCTCTCAAAGGATCCTACTCATCTCTCATTCGTCGTGTGTATACCTATACCTATACTGTGTATATACCAACTTGTATATCTTCTCTTGCTGTTTCTCCGTCCCCAGCATCCTCCCAGCCCCTTTCCATCTGACAATCAGCAGGATAATACTTTCTTAAGAATGAGTCTCTCCCCTCTCTACGTCAATTAGAAACTCAAAGAACAATGACTACGGGAACCGGCTACTCCCAGCGTGTAAAGGCTGTTTCCATTGCTCCGTAGACTTTCCCATTAGGATTCGTTTGCATGAGAATAATCACGGCACCCTCGCGAGCCATGAATGTTCATTACAAAATTTCATTCCTTCGACGACCTCACTCAAGCACGTAACGCAGGCGTCGCGACGTCTCGCGTCACTCTGATTAATATTAATTTATAGGGTCATTTTGAAAATTTTTCATCTCTTTCTCAAAACGTACTTTATTATTGATTTGTATGTAAGATAAGGCCGGGATAGGATGACGTGAAGGATTTCAAATTTGCCGAGTGTAAAACTACGTGCTACTTAGGGGCACGTTCCGGGCAACCCTTTTTCGAATTCTGTAGTTCGATGCTAATTACCATGTTTACAGTTTCGTGCTTTACGATTACCCAACGAAGGACTACAGGTTTACAGGTTCAAAGGGTCACAGGTTACGATAACGGAATCTCATCAGCAGTTACGTCATAGGAAGAGACTCGGTCGAGTCTCGCGCCAAGTGAATCGGCTCTACAGGGGATGGACCCCCGAGACCATTCAGCAGAGTTAACTCGTGTAGCCCCAAAATACACTCACGTGTAAAAGAACTGTGCCAAGTACAGGAGTCCTGTAAATTCCACTAAGAAAAAGTACTGAAATCCTATTGTTAATGCCAAGTAAGGAGGTCTTGGACTCAGGAGTCTCAGGACTGGGGGATTTTTTCCTCAATCCCCAAAACACGTCCTCCGGTGGACCTCCGAGGGCTCTTAGCTCCTTCGCGGAGAGGTAGGACCTCTCACGGAAATGGCCGAGGAGCAGGGGCCCATTTCCCAGCATTCTTTCCTTCTTCATTCTTTTGCCAACTTCGAACCTCCTTTCCTCCGTTGTCTTCGACCTTTTCCTTCTTCGATCATCGGAAGTCTAACTTGGAACAGGAGCTACAGCTTTCAGCCACAGTCCACTCGCACGGCACATCGGAGCTTCCCAATTATTCTCAAGGTCCTACTTTATGGACTCATGTTGAATTTCTATTAGCGACACATCGGCATTTCCGAAGATTGACCATTCAGGAAATTTCATTCAAATTCCGTGGTACATTTGGCTTTCTGACCATCGGGTGAAATCACCGGTAGCACCCCGAGTAGGATTTACCTTCGTGTCCCCAGTATGTTCTACATGTCGATACTGCGCGGCGCAGATTACACGGGCATGTCTAGTCTACAGAATTTCAATACTTTTCCTTCGAGGAATTCACAGCGCACTCCTGTACCTGCAATAGTTTCTTACACGCAAGTGTCCTTTGGGGGGTTCAATTTACTACGGTGCATTCCATAATGCATCCAATGCATTGCCCAGCTTGATATGCGATATACAAGAATATGGGTGCATGATGTAAAACTACCTTGACGATTAAGAGTCACAATTACTTCGGAATGCATGCTGTGTGGATTATTGTGTTATTGGGCAAATAATTAGCGCCGCATTCGATGCGAACGAATAAACAGGCAAACATGAGAACAAGCAAGCAGCGTGCAGTTTTAATTGAAAAAACTGGAGCCACCTGCACCGACACACGTTGACTTTTGCACGTCGATCGATAAACCGGCTCCTGCTAAAACAGAATATTTATAAAATACACTTATAGCCCAGGTGTAGCCCGTAGACTTCACAGTGAATTAAATAGCGTCGCGACGTCCCGGGACTTTTAGGATTTTCATCGAAGAGGATTAATCCTTGCTAATGAGATTGGTATGATAAAATTTTTTCATAAACAATTCAATTCCTTGGAGTCTCTATACTTCTACTCCCCCGCGACCAGGCCCTTTCTACCCCCCCCCC